GCGCCTGGGTTTCCCGATGCCCGACACGGGGTCCCACTGCAGAGCCACCAGCCTGGCCCCCCAGCCCCGGCCCCCCGCCCTCGCTGCCTGGCCGGAGCCCAAAGGCTGAGCAGAGCCCCGCAGCCGGACGCGATTTCCAGCCACTGCATTGCGGAGGAGCTGAGGATCAGTCCCGTGAACAACCACACGGTGCGAGGCCCGAGGGGTCGAGACAAGGTTGTGCTGCAATCCTGGTGCTTCCCTGCCTCCTGGGACGCTGGGACACTGTTCTGTTACACCTGGTGGGGCAGGGAAGGGTGCTGGCTTACCCTTTAATGCTACAAATTTCACTGCCCAAATAAAACTGTAAAGCTCAGGGTGATGGGAGCAGAGCCACGTGCCTGTCAGAGAAAACCAAAGATATTTCCTTACGTGCTCAGAGCTCCCACGTTCAATAAATCGCTGCCACGCGCCCATTTGTCAGGTTTCTTTATTCTAGCATCACTTTTGCATTCCTACTTGGGCTAGTAAGTTTGGGAACTCTGGTACACGAGACAAACTGGAAGAAGATTTTCTTTAACATATAATTTTCTTTTAAAAGAAGAAAAAAAAACAAAACAGAAGACGACAAAGCTAAGCCACAGCGAAGGACAGGACCAACAGCAGCCACCTGCAGGAAAGCCAAGGCAGGTGAGGAGGCAGCACAGGACAGATTCTGGCTTTTCGTTTGGACAGCGTGAGATGGGGAGAGGCTAACACCAGACCTAAACCCCATGGAAACAGGAACAGCGCACGGTGCCAGAGACCGGACATCAGCGCCTTCCTCTCCTGTGGCCGACGGGAACGCTGGAGGCTCCCCCCAAAGCTTTACTCGCCCCCCTGCAGCACACACCCCACTGCTCCCTCTGTGCTCACGTACGCACCCAGAAGCCCACTCCCACCATCCCACCTTCCCCCCCATCCTGGGGAGCGGCACGCTGGCGAGCGGCCGCACGAGTGTCGGCACACGCACGGTGCCCCGCAGATTGCTGCACTCCGACAGATGTGCAGAAGGATCCTCCCCCCAAACATCACGTCTTTAAAAAAAAAAAAAAATCCTACTGGAAAGTCCTGGAAGCAATTTGGAGTGTGAAATCCTCAAGGCTGCAGACGGGAGAGCCCAAGGTGGAGCCAAGCCATGGAGACCCTCGGGAGGGACAGGCAGTTATGGAGCCGGGCAGGAGGGAGGAGAGTTCCTCGTGGTGGACTGGGAGGGGTCCCACCTGGATCCAGATCCCACTGGGAGAGTCCTGGCCCCGCACGAGCCTCGGAGCAGCACCAGTTCTGGAGGGCGGGCGGGCAGAGGCTCCCCAGCTCAACGGGGCGCGAGCCCTGGGTC